AACATATTTTGAGTCCTTTTGAGCAGATCGATAGCCGCTTCTTCAGTTGGTAGCGATTTGAGCCCGTCATCCACGTAGAAGTCTTTTTCCACAAAGTCTTTGGCATCTGTACCGTATACTCAGATTCCCCCTCTATTGCAGTTCTCCGAAGCCCGTAAGTCGCTACGGCTGGTGAAGGGCTGTTTCCAAACACATGTACCCTCATACGATACTCCATCATCTCTGCGTTGGTGTCATTGTCCTTGTACCACAGAAACCTGAGGAAATTCCGGTGGTCCTCTCGGACTACAAAACAATGGAACATCTGTTCAATGTCAGCAGTGATGGCGACAAGCTCTTTCCTGATCTCTCATCAGCACTCCGACTAGGTTATTAGTCAGATTAGGACCTGTGAGAAGAATATCGTTAAGAGATACACCTTGATGTTTGGCGCTTGAATCAAAGACAACCCTAATTTGATTAGGTTTTCGTGGATGATATACTCCGAATGAAGGCAAGTACCAGCACTCGTCGTTCTTCCTTAAGGATGGAGCTGGTTCTGCATGGTTGTTACGGAATATTTTATCCATAAAGGCAACGATGTGTTCTCTCATTTCAGGCTTGCTGTTCATGGTACGCTGAAGAGAGTTAAATCTAGACAGAGCTTGTTCCCGGTTGTTCGGGAGAGTCTTACCCTGTTAGCTCGGAAGGGTAATGGAGAAACCCAGTGATTGGTTTCGTCTTTAAAGAACTCACTGTCCATTATCTCGACAAATTCTCTGTCCTCTACTGACAAGGCTACTTTATCGTCGTCCTTGGTTGTATGAAAGACTGATCTCCCCAAGTTGTCGGCAAAGAGGGGAGTAATGACGTCGTCAGGTAGTTGTACGAGGCCTGGAGACTTCTCTCTCACCTCATAGTGATGAGGACACGGCTTAATGCAAGTTGTGCGTCCATCTGCACGCACGTACGTTTTGAAGGAGTCGATTTTTGGTTGATTTAAGCATACATTTCCTATGATTACCCATCCCAAGTCCAGTCTCTGGGCATATGGCGCATAGTCAGGACCATTACACTGTTGACGCACCTTGTGTACCCTTAGATTGTCTCTGCCGAGCAGGAGTAGAATCTCGGCGTTGATGTCCATAGGTGGGATAACGTTGGCTAGGTGCCTTAGGTGAGGTTGGTGAAATGCAGCTTCTGGGGTAGGAATCTCATCCCTATGGTTGGGTATTTGATCACATTCGATCAGCGTCGGTAAGGGTATTTCCGTATCCCCACTGACAGGAGAAGCGATGAATCCTTGTGCCCTTCTGCCGCTAGTCTCTATGCGGCCCGAGCAGGTGTTTAAGGTATAGGGTTCGGATGGTCCCTTTATTCCAAAGGCTTCAAAGAATTTAGGACCTGCTAGGGACCGGTTGCTTTGGTCGTCGATGATGGCATACATTTTTACTGCCTTTTCTGGTAGTCCCTCTGGGTAGACCTTGATTAGGCATATTCGGGCACAACATTTCTCACACTGGCCCTCCCCACATACATCCAAGCATGAGCAGGAAACAGCAGTCGCTGCATTAGCGTAATTTTGGGGCTCCCCGCCATGACTTGGAGCAGGACTGGTGGTGACGGCAGTGGGTGAATCTCTGGAGAGTGGGATTGGGTGCATAGCTGAGGCATGTCTTTCACTATGACACTCCTCACACTTGATGACAGATTTACAGTCCTTAGCCATGTGCTCCAATGAAGCGCAGCATCTGAAACATACCCCAAGCTCGGTGAGGATTTTCTTGCGCTCCTGTATGGTTTTGGATCTAAACCCTCTACATTTGTTCAGAGAGTGTGTTTTTTTATGAATGGGACATTCACGATTGAAGGTCTTATATCTCCTGATGAGGTAGTGTACTGTTTACCCGTGGGTACTGCAGGAGATGGTAGGTTAGTCTTTCTAACACTCACGCTGCTCTTGAAGTCTCTGTGTTTATGCATGATGCTTTCATACCTTGATGATGATGATGTGCTGAAGCTGTAGTGTTGAACTCCAGGAAGTCGAGGCTGGGGTCATTCCTCATCTGGGACTGTTCATCGATAAACCTACAGAAGTGAATAAATGGGGGAAAGGTGATGTCATGCTCTCTTTTGTACCTTGAGACTGATGCCGCCCACTTTTCTTGCAGACTGTATGGTAGCTTCACGACAATTGGGTTCACTCCATGAGCTGTATCCAGGTAGCACAGCCCGGACAGACGAGGGTCACCCTTGGCAAGCTCCAGTTCCATGAGCAGATCACTTAAATCCTGAAGCTTCTGGACATCCTTGAGATTGATCCTTGGAACGTTCTGCAGTCTCTTGAATAGGGCCTTCTCTATTGCTTCTGCACTGCCGAAGGTACGTTCGAGTCTCTGCCAGGCGGCAGCTAGACCTGCTTCTGCTTGTCCCACGTAGACAGTTCTGAGGCTCTTGACACGATTTGTGGAGCCTGGGCCCAGCCATTTGATCAAGAGGTCAAACTCCTGCTCTGCGGTTAGGTTGAGGTTAGCGATGGCGGCCTTGAAGGTTGCCTTCCAAGCTCTGTAGCTCTCTGCACGGTCATCAAATTTTGAGAGACTGGTGTTGATTAGCTCTCTGCTCACCATAAACCTGGCAAACTCAGACATATCTGATTTCTCACTGCTTGTTGCCATGACGACTTGTGATGCCCCTGGGGCGTATGGGCTGCCTGGCGTGAAAGGGTGAGATGCTTCCGGGTAGAATGATGTAGCTGCAGGGTTAAGCTTTCGTTTAGCCTCTGTATATTGTGATGACTGCTGCTTGAGCTGTGGAGGTAGGCCAGAAAACGCCTGATAGCGATCTTTCTGTAACAACCGTCCTTGAGAGGGCACATCCGGGTAACGGTTATTAGGTTGCTCGGGTGCTGTGGGTGGCACTGGTACCGCAGGTAGAGCTGACTTGGAGGTTTCAGTGTTGTCGGCTTGGACGGTACTGCAAACTGGGGGTGGCGCAGATACCTGATTCAGTACATAGTCACTGGTGCGATCAACTGGATCATCTATCTCCTGTGGTAGCGAGCAGACTGGATCAAGACCTTGGCTCAATGCTTGCTCAAGTAGTCTTACTTTAGCTAATGCAATTTCCTCCTGCATCTCTGATTCGAAAATCTTTATTCGAGCCTCTGCTTCGCTTCTGCCTTCTTGGCCTCTGCTTCTCTCTGCTGCCTCTGCCTCTGCCTCTGCCTCTGCTCTCTGCCTCTGCCTCTGCCTCTGCCTCTGCCTCTCTGCCTCTGGCCTCTGCTTCTGCCTCTGCCCTCTTGCCTGCTGCTTCTGCCCTCTTGGCCTCTGCTGCCTCTGCCCTCTTGGCCTCTGCTTCTGCTTCTGCCTCTTGCCTCTGCCTCTGCCGCTGCCTCTGCCTCTCTTGGCCTCTGCTTCTGCCCTCTTGCCTCTGCCTCTGCTCTTGCAAGAGCTTCTTTTTTCTGTGAAGGAGCGTCTCGCTTTGGATTGCTCTGCGTTTATGCGGGCCTCTAGTAATCTGTCGCTCAAGGCTGAGCTTCTTGAGCACGATGATTTGTATGACCGAGAGGAATGTTTAGATGAATTTGATCTGTGTGATCTAGTTTCTTGCAAAATGCGAGATACGGAGTTCCGCTTTACCTTTAACATCCAGCACCATGACGTCTCTTTGTCTGGCTATTGATTCTGCCTTGCTCAGTTCTGATAGGGCTTCATCGATATTAGAGTCTTTTAGAAAGGTTATATACCTTGTGGACAGTCTCTTGTATCTTTCTTGAGCTGTGTCCAGCCGCCCGATGGCAACTTGTAAGCTTGTGGCATCACCTGAGGAGGATTTAAGTCCGGACATGAGGGAGGAAACTCGTTCCCATTGCTCCTCCAGGTTATCACATAGCTCATCTTTGTGGTGTGATAATTTTCAATGACCTTTACTGTCGGTTTGAGAGAGCGTCTTGGTCGCACGACTTGTTCTGCTGGAAGTGTGGATTCTGTTCCCTGCCCTTCATAATGATCAGTATCAGGTTGCATTTGCTTTATTTCATCACTGGGGAACTGTGCAAAGTCCTTTTCGGCCATTTTGACTTAAGGTGCGCTGTCTCTTTAAGAAAATGAACTTTTGAATTGGGCGCTGAAAATCGCAGCACGGCTCCGATAGGGCACTTTGATAAAATTTCTAAGATGTTTAGAGTGAATTGCGGGGTTTTGCGGCGGCCACGGCAGTGTAAGGAGCGTGCATAAACAGTACTTCTATTATGCGAGCAAAAGTTAATATAGGACTTTAGGAATGGCTTGGCGAGTTGTGGAGGACTTCCAGGCGAGAGTATAGATACTGCGTATGTGCAGTGCTTCCGCATAGGCTTGTGGAACATGCACTGTAGTAGCCGGGCAGATTTGCTGCAAGTGGGCCTGTTGCTAGGGAGATTCCTGAGTGTGGTACTGGACTCTGAGGGAATCTGTAGCGGGGTATGGACTTTAAGGCAGTTTTTGACTGTTCTGTCCCCACATGAAGGCGAATGAAGGTATAACTGATAATGGCTGTGTAACTTCCTACCTTCGTATCCAAGCAGTGGAGCAGACCGGACCGGCAGATGTTCAGGTTAGATGGATCCAAACGTATACACGGGAATGAAATCAGCGTGGGTTTATTTGGTCCAAAATACAGCGACAAACAGTGATACAATACTGTAAGGTAGTAGAGGTATTGATGCTGTCCTGTGATATCTTTCCTGAGGCTAACTGCTGGTCAAAAACTGATGCCTTCACAAGCCCAGGGTATTGAATGTCCTGTCACACAGCTATATAGCAGATAAAATGGCTGCAGGAAGTGACCAGAACCAAGGCTTGCCTAAAACCACGCCCAGCAGAGAAAACACTTACTAGCTATAACAGAGGCATGCAGCATGCAAATTCTGGCCAGCAGATGGCAGCAACAGATCAAGACATAGAAACAAACATGGTGAAATAAGAATTGGTGATACAATGCACAGTTAAATAACAAAGTGCTGAAAAGTTCAGTTGTTAGGTGGAGGTGGGATAGACTTCCCTGAAGGTATGAGTTTTCTGGGATTTCCTAAAAGTGGACAGAATAGGAGATAGCCAGATAAATTGGGGTAGGGAGTTCCAGAGGATGGGAGAAGTCCAGAAGATAGCATGGAAGGAGGTGACGAGGGAGCTAGAGATTTAGAAATCTTAGGAGGAGCAGAGAGGATGGTTTGGTTGATATTTTGGCATGAGGTTGGTGATGTAGGTCAGGAGTGGATGGCTTTGTATGTTGTTGTTAGTACTTTCAATTTTATTCATTGGGCATTTGGAAGCCAGTGGAGGGATTGGCAGAGGGGGGGCACTGAGCGGAGGCCAGTGGAAGAATTGGCAGAAAAGGGTGGAGGACACTGTGTAGGGACTAATGGAGGGATTGGCAGAGAGGGGTGGAGGACACTGAGTGGAGACCAGTGGAGGGATTGGCAGAGAGGGGTGGGGGGCACTGAATGGAAGCCAGTGGAGGGATTGGCAGAAGGGTGGAGGACACTGAGTGGAGACCAGTGGAGGGATTGGCAGAGAGGGGTGGAGGACACTGAACGGAAGCCAGTGGAGGGATTGGCAGAGAGGGGTGGGGGGCACTGAGAAGAGGCCAGTGAAGGGATTGGAGAAGGGGGGGCACTGAGCCTGAAACGACAGGTCAGAGTCCAGGATTAAACCTAGCAACTTGGCATGAGGGAAGGGACTGATAGTTGTATTGTTGATCTCGATTGATAAGTCAGGGGAGAGGGAATATTTGAAGAGAATTATCTGCTCCATTTTAGAAAGATTGAGTTTCAGTGATGTGACATCCATACTAATGATTTGTTAATATGTTAATACGCTAGTAACAGGGGCGGACTGACCATTCGAGAACTCGGGCACCGCCCGAGGGCCCAGGGTCAGTAGGGGGCCCATGAGATGCCCCTGGTACCTTTCATAGGCTTTTTTGGGTGTGGTTTAAGTGTGGGCGAGGACACAGGGGACCCATGATCCCTTATTGCCTGGGGGCCCCATGAGTTGTCAGTCTGCCCCTGGCTAGTAATGTGAGAGGAGACTGAAATGGTGAGATGGGGAGTAGAGAGATAGATTTAGGTGTTATCAGCATAAAGATGGCATTGGAAGCCATGAGAGGTTATGAAGTGACCAAGAGAGGAGGTGTGGATAGAGAAGAGAAGGAGTCCAAGGACAGAACCTTGGGTGGTCCCAAAAGAAATAAGAAGTAGACAGGAGGAGATAGAGTTGTAGGCAACACTGAAGGAACGCTGTGATAGGTAGGAGGATAGGAAAGAGCAGAGTCTTGGAGGCCTGAAGCAGAGTTTTGTAAGGGGTCAACAAGGTTGTTGTCAGTGTGGTAGGAGATCAGATGGTTGTAGACTAAGTGCTCTAGACGTTTAGAGGTAAATGGGAGCAAGGCAAAGGAGCTTAAGTTGTTCAGACTGGTGCGGTCCAATGAGGTAAGTATGGGCATGACCAGAGCACCACAATAGTGTGGCATCTGAAATTTCTATAGGACACAGTTTAGCAGGATCACCAGAAACACTAAAAATAAAGTTTTGGATATAGATACACTTTAATGAAGATTTCACAGAGATTGTACAGATTTAAATTTGCGAGCCCCCCCATGCCCACCCCATTACACCATGTCTACCAAGGTACATTTTTAAATGTTCTGGTAGTCAAGGGTTTAAAGCAAGCTATGTAAAAGTGATCCAGGTGGCTGTAGGCTGTAACTTTATAAAAAGTCCCCCCCCCCCGCTCAACCCCCCATTGCCCCATGCACACACTCAAATGCAGGCACACACATAAGGCATGCACATATACAGTCATGGCCAAAAATATTGGCACCCCTGCATTTCTGTCAAATAATGCACCAATTCACCCAGAAAAGTGTTGCAATTACTAAAGTTTCGGCATTCTCATGTTTATTTCTTTTGTTTGTATTGGTAAGACACAAAAAAAATGGAGAAACAAAAAGCCAAATCTGACACATTCCACACAAAACTCCAAAAAATGGTCTGGACAAAATTATTGGCACCTTCTCAAAATTGTAAGAAATAATTGCATTCCAAGTTTGTGATGCTCCTAATTAAACTCACCTATATCAATTAACAGGTGCTGACAATATAGAAATCACACCAGCAACCAGTTAAAATAGTGAAAATTTGACTCAACCTTTCTGTCGTGTGTCTCTGTGTGTCGCATGGAGCATAAAGTAGAGAAAGAGCAGCAAAGAATTGTCTGAGGATTTGAGAACAAAAAGTGTGGAAAAGCATAGACAACACAAGGTTACAAGTACATCTCCAGAAATCTTAATGTTCCTGTGTCCACTGTGCACAACATTGTCAAGATGTTTACAGCCCATGGCACTGCAATCAATCTCCCTGGATGTGGATGAAAGAGAAAAATTGATCAAGGATTGCAACAAAGGATTGTTCGAATGTTGGCTCAAAAATCTCAATCAAATTCCAGACAAATTCAAGCTGACCTTCAAGTACAGGGTACAACTGTGTCAGCTCGCACTATACGTCACCATCTGAATGAAAAGGGACGCTATGGTATGAGACCCAGGAGGATCCCATTGCTGACACGGAAACGTAAAAAATCCAGCAATGAGTCTAGATCTCAATCCCATAAAGCACCTGTGAAGAGATCTCAAAACAGCAGTTGGGAAAAGGAACCCTTCCAATCTGAGAGACCTGGAGCAGCTGGTGAAAGAAGAGTGCTCCAAAATTCCAGTAGAGAGGTAGAAGAAACTCTTTGATGGTTACAGGAAGCCATTGATGGCAGTTATTTTTTCCAAGGGTGTGCTACCAAATATTAAATTGAGGGTGCCAATAATTTTGTATAGTCCATTTTTGGGGCTTTGCGTGGAATGTGTCAGATTTGCCTTTTTGTTTCTCCACTTTTTTGTGTCATACCAATACAAACAAAAGTAGTAAACATGAGAATGCCTAAACATTTGTAATTGCAGCAATTTTCTGCGCGAAGTGGTGCATTATCTGACAGAAATTCAGGGGTACAAATATTTTTGGCCATGACTGTATGTAACTAACTATAGTTAGTTAGTTAGGGTCTCTGTTTGTGTCAGGCCACAAGTGTTATTGGCTCAGAGTGCCAATGAGGAGCTAGAGGACACTGAAACGCCTGCCGTTGGTCGATTACCCATGTTCCAGGACGTGGCACATTCAAGTGGGGTGGTGTCCGGGATGCCAATGGTGCTGGGAAAGATGTTGGCTGATTGGGAGAGGGTCCAGAATAGCTGCCCGGACCTGTGGAAAGTGAAAGAATGGGTCCGGACTACGATCTGGCCTCGGTCAGAAGAGCGGACTCGTCTGACTCCCGAGGGACAAAAGTTGTTGAGGCAGTGGGATAAGCTGACTGTTACCCAGGGCCTCCTGTGTCGGACCATATACTTGCAGTCAGAGTTGCAGTACCGGCGACAGATTGTCACCCCCATGTCATTGGGACCGGAGGCTGCCTGGGAAGCCCATGAGAGGGGTGCCCATTTTGGGAGCGACAAAACATTCAAGTGGCTCCAACGGCTCATGTACTGTCCAGATTTGGCAGACATGGTGGCTGAGGCTTGTCTTAAGTGTTGGCCCTGCGGGCTGAGTAAGAGTACTAAACAGTAGGCTCCTGTCCAGGCCATCCAAACATCAGCACCCCTAGAGCTCCTTATGATCGATTATGTACAGATTGGGTACTGTACCTCGGGACACTCGTACTGTCTAGTCATGACAGATCACTTCACAAAGTATGCGGTGTCTGTACCCACCAGAGACCAGGCGGCAGAGTCGGCCGCTGAAGCGGTCTGCAAACACTTTATACAGGTGTTCGGTTGTCCACAGAGAATACATTCGGACCAGGGGGCATGTTTTCAGAGTACTCTAATGAATGAGTTGTACCAACTGTATGGGATCGAACGTTCCCGCACCACCCTGTATCACCCCCAGGGAAACGGGGCATGCGAGCGGTTCAACCGCACCTTGCTCCAGATGCTGCGGACTCTGGAGGACCGCCAAAAGGCTCGGTGGCCCGAATACCTACCTGAACTGATGTGGGCCTTTAATAACAGGGTATACAGTACCACCGGATACCATTAATGTCTAAACCACTGGCAACAAAAGTGAGTACACCCCTAAGTGAAAATGCCCAAATTGGGCCCAATTAGCCATTTTCCCTCATGAGTCATGTGACTCGTTAGAGTTACAAGGTCTCAGGTGTGAATGGGGAGCAAGCAGGTGTGTTAAATTTGGTGTTATCGCTCTCACTCTCTCATACTGGTCACTGGAAGTTCAACATGGCACCTCATGGCAAAGAACTCTCTAAGGATCTGAAAAAAAGAATTGTTGCTCTACATAAAGATGGCCTAGTCTTTAAGAAGATTGCCAAGACCCTGAAACTGAGCTTCAGCACGGTGGCCAAGACCATACAGTTTTATACGGTTTAACAGGACAGGTTCCACTCAGAACAGGCCTTGCCATGGTCGAGTTGAGTGCATGTGCTCAGTGTCATATCCAGAGGATGTCTTTGGGAAATAGACGTATGAGTGCTGTCAGCATTTCTGCAGAGGTTGAAGGGGTGAGGCACACTGCATCAAATTGATCTGCATGGCTGTCAATCCAGAAGGAAGCCTCTTCTAAAGATGATGTACACGAAAGACAGTTTGCTGAAGACAAGCAGACTAAGGACATGGATTACTGGAACCATGTCCTGTGTACTGATGAGACCAAGATAAACTTATTTGGTTCAGATGGTGTCAAACGCGTGTGGCGGCAACCAGGTGAGGAGTACAAAGACAAGTGTGTCTTGCCTACAGTCAAGCATGGTGGTGGGATTGTCATGGTCTGGGGCTGCATGAGTGCTGCCGGCACTGGGGAGCTACAGTTCATTGAGGGAACCACGAATGCCAACATGTACTGTGACATACTGAAGTAGAGCATGATCCCTCTCTTCGAAGACTGGGCCGCAGGGCAGTATTCCAACATGATAACAGCCCCAAACGCACATCTAAGATGACCACTGCCTTGCTAAAGAAGCTGAGGGCAAAAGGTGACAGGCTGGCCAGGCATGTCTCCAGACCTAAACCCTATTGAGCATCTGTGGGGCATCCTCAAATGGAAGGTGGAGGAGCGCAAGGTCTCTAACATCCACCAGCTCGATCATGGAGGAGTGAAACAGTACTCCAGTGGCAACCTGTGAAGCTCCGGTGAACTCCATGCCCAAGAGGGTTAAGGCAGTGCTGGAAAATAATGGTGGCCACAAAATATTGGACCCAATTTGGACAATTTCACTTAGGGGTGGACTCACTTTTGTTGCCAGTAGTTTAGACATTAATGGATGTGTGTTGAGTTATTTTGAGGGGACAGCAAATTTACACTGTTATACAAGCTGTACACTCACTACGCTACATTGTAGCAAAGTGTCACTTCTTCAGTGTTGTCACACAAAAAGATATAATAAAATATTTACAAAAATGTGAGGGGTGTGTACCCACTTCTGTGAGATACTGTAATTGTTGAGAGTTTAAAGTAAGTTTCTTGCAAAAAATGTGTATTTTAACATGTTTGTGAAAATTGTAAAAGAGGTTAGGTCCAGCAAAAACGTATTTTCTTAGTTTTGGATAGAGTGGGAAGAGATAGAACCCCCAACAGGTTTTTACTGCTTTCCATAGATCCATTAGAGAGATTTACCCTCACGTCCTGTCACACTGATCAATGAGAGAAGCATTGTGTGAAATAGAAAGGTATCAGGCACTGTATG